CCTTTGCCGTGTCGATCCAACGGGACCTTACCAGTCGAAGTCCTTTAGCCTTAGCTTCGGCGTAGCTGATGTCATTCTTCACGTTGAAGCTTTCCATCTTCGTCAGCTCCTTATCTCTTCTTTTGCACACCTCGCTCGTCTCGAGCGCTTCACCGGTTCGTTCGTCGTAGAACTTTTCTTCCACCACTTCACCTTCCGTGGGCAACGCCGCCACAATCATGCAGTCATGGACGGTAGGCAACCCAGCCACCATTTCCTCTTCGCAAGCTTCTGCTTCGCGCTTCCTGCTGGGGCTCTCTGCCTTTGGCTTCTTGACGTCCGCCCTCCGTTCACCCAGCTTTTCACGGAGCGGGATTCCACTTCCATGAGAGCGTCCCCCCCATTTTTGGAGTCCGGCTGCCTAAAGGAGCCGTCTTGCCCTTCCCCAGCGCTGCCTGAGGCTCGTGGTTCCGGCGCGGGCTCCTTTGCAAGAACCTTGCCCGACACTCGGGCGAATGCTTCTTGGGAGCTTCCCTGTAAGCTGTCTCACAGCCTGGGCATCCCTTTGTCCTACCATATTTGTTTTGGGTTTTCAAGTGTGATGTAAACGCCACGTGGTTGTGGCACTACTCCTTCCAAGCGGGAAGCTGGGAGAGGCTGACCAGGTGCCAAAGGGGTTCTTTCGGGTTGGCCTTGAGGCTGCCAAGGGGGTACCTACCATATTGTTGACACACCCAACCTCAACCCTTTTCGCCTGCCTCCTAATGGACCTACACCTCTGAATCCCATTGGGGGTCGCAACGAAGTGCTCATCATTGCTCAAACTTTTCCCCAACCAAACCCCGCATGCCCACTTGTCTTCTAACTTCTTCAAGTTCTGGTTTGAAAACTTGTACAAAACCACTTCCCCAAACTCAGCAATCTCACCCTTGTAGCTACGGTTCCTAAGTCGCTCATAGGCCGTTCTACCGTCTTGCTTAACCCCAAACCTTGCGCAAAGCCAAGCCGCGTGCCTCACCATCCAAGGAAAGACAATCGAGGTTTCCGTCACCTTGATGGTGGGATACCTTGTTTCGAAGGCAACCGTCAGGGTCCTGACCTGATTGCTTAGCTCAAGCACTGCCCGTTCAGCAGCACCATTCGCTAGAGGATCACCCTTAGGTACCGGTTGGCTAACAGCTTTCTTGGGGTAGTTCTTAACAAGATTCTCAG